TTTAATGCTTCCTCCCACCCACTATCATGTCCCAGTTCTACCTTATAAATATAGCTAGACCGGAAGATGTACACTGTTACAGATAAGAGCTCTCCACACACGGAATCCAGGGCAGATAAAACCCTCAGGAACAGTAATGGGAGTAGGATTACCATGAGAGTAGGCGGAAGGTTGGGGAGAATGGGGTAAAACGAGGAACCAATTGCAATGATTGGTGTATCCCCCCATTCCCTCTAGTTGGACAAACAACAGAAACGTGGGTGTAAAGGGAGACAGCAGATGGTTTAGATATGAAAATAATTATAATTTATAATTTATCAAGGGTTCACGACGGGGTGAGGGTGGAGGAAGGAGGAGAAAAAGAGCAGCTGATACCAAAGGCTCAACAGACATAAAAGGTTTTAGAAATGATGATGGAAACATATGTACAAAAGAGCATGATACAATTAATGTATGGATTGTCATCAGAGCTGTAAGAGCCCCCAATAAAATATTTATTAAGAATATTTAAAATTTAAAACAAATTTTACATAATTTTATTGGACATGAATTTTGTCACTTCTGAATACAAAAATCTAGACTGCCTCGTGGTATAATATTTGCTGTCATTTGTAGTTCATCTATTCTGTTAAACTCACTCATGGTTTTAATATTCAGCTGATTACAATTCAGCTGTCTAGGGCTTCACAACCTTTAGACAATTATAGTATTGTACTTCCTGAATAAAATTAACATGCTGTGCTCAAATGTGATATTCTTGACCATTCATTTTAGTCTTTTATGAGGTAAATTCAAATGAAAATTGAATTTTTGTTGTTTTTTTGAAGGTTTAAGAATACGTCTGTTCAATTTTTCACTGAAATTATTAAGCTGTTTATTGTACATAATCCGAGTGCTGCTAGAAACCCCTTCACAAGGAAATGAATGGTAAGGCATCTTTCTTTAATCTTCACCATGTAATTTTAAGAGAACTTTAATCTATGCTATATGGCATTCAATTTATTATGGATCTTTTAGATTTCTGTCAAAAACTTAATTGATCTTGCTCTCAGGTAATACACAGATATTTGTAAACTTTTATCTCTTAATGTTTATCTGTTGGTGTAATGCTAATACAGGACACCAAATGATAAATATTTATTGCTAATCTAAACACTCTAAGTACTTACTGCTAATATTTTTGGTGACAATACGTAATAAACTATCTAGCCATTCATCATTTTTTAGGCACAGTTCAGTGAGAGTGTCACACTTTTGCCTTGTGTCATTGTTCTCCCTGTGTGTGTTCATATTACTTGACCATCAATAACTTGGGCTGTCTGCTTCCTAAAATTCTCCTTGATTTTTTAAGAGTTATTATTGTCATTTTGTTCTAATACAGGTGATTTTTTAAAATTAGCTCATAGCTCAAGGTGAACACTCTTTATTAGTACATCAAAGCACTGTTTAATGGAACTACGTGGCATAGTTTTGATTCAAGTGTTAAAAATTATCTCCAGGAAATAAATGTGTTGGTTTCCCCAATCTCAATAGATCCAGTAAGTTTAGGTCTTATAAGAATTTTTAATTCTATTGTACATTTTTTGGTCTTTGGAATTAGAATCCATTTATGGAAACTATTATTAAAATGTTGGCTAAGGTAGCTGGATACTATCCTATTTTTCTGATCTTATGGCAGTGGAGGTAGTAGTTCCTGGAAGCAATGAGACCTGCAGGTCAGGTTCCTTTTTGATCCCTTGGTCTCCTTTTTCTGCTATTATAGGACAATAGATACCAATTGCAAGGCCATCGGTAAGCTATTAAGACCCCAGGCACTATTACTGAACTAGAGGGAGAAACAAAGCCAAATCAAACTCACTGCCATTGAGTTGATATTGAGTCATGGTGAATCTACAGGACAAGGCTTTCTAGTCCCATCAGAAGTTACAGTGTCAGAAACCCACAGGGGGGAATCTGCCCTGACCTCCAGGATTACTATGAGTGGAAATCAATTCGATGGAAGTGAGTTTGGTCTTTGTTTTTGTTTTGCAGTTTGATATAAATGAGTTTACACATTATTTAATATATCATTTAATAAATGATAATTCACACAGTGTGATGTATTTCATGTTCAAGTTGAAGTACATATCAAGACTTCATTTCTCTTTAAAGTTGAGGTATATTCCATTGTTTATCCATTCATCTGTTGACAGGCTCTTGGGTTGGTTCCACCTTTTCGTTATTGTGAATAAGGCTGCAATGAACATAAGGACACATAAGCAAATTGTTGTTTAAAATGGATCGATCTCTTTAAAAACCTGAAAGATTTTCTGTTCTTTATCTACATTTAGTCCCAAACGGTTTCCTCTACTTGGCTCCAGTTTTGTAGGCATTTTCAGTTATGCTTGAGCTATTTCTTTTGAAGGGAGGCAAAGCAGCACATATTGAAATGTCTTTTATTTGAAGTCTCAGGCTCAACCTTTGAGTTCCATTTGTTGTTTGAATCAAATGTATTCCCGCCCCCCCCCAATTCATTATCAAATTGCTTTCATTAAATTGGATTACTTTTCACTTATGGATGTACTTTTTAAGCTCTCTTTTGCTGAAAGGGCCTGATGATTTTTATATTCTAAATTTTAGAAAAATGTGCAGGGTAGAAAACTTAAATATGTAGCCTAAATTCTTTATATATATATATATATATATATGCTTAGAATATTAAAAGAATGAAAACCTCAACATAAAATGCAACGTGAGATCATAATATATTTAAATAAATTTGTTAACCATCGGCTTATTTAGATAAAATTATTTCATAATTATTAAGATTAGGGATCAGTAAAATACTAAAAAGTGAATTTGATGACTATTGGTGACATTTATTCTAGGAGTTATAATTATAAATGTCATTATATTTTTATTGAATATATGTGTTTGAGCTACTTTGTCTGAAGTGAAGTTATAAGAATGAAAAGGAATATTTGCCATTGTGTGGCAGCTTTTACTTTGTAATAACATTGGATATTTTGGGATCCCCCATCCTCCAATTTCCCCAGTGAATATTTGAAACCTCAAATCTTACCGAATCTTATATGCACTATGTCTTTTTTTATACATACACACCTATAAAAAAGTTTAATATATAATTTAGGAGCAGAAAGAAATCAATAAGAGCAAATAATAATAGTAGAGCAATGATAACAGTATATCATAATAAAAGTCATGTAAAATACTTGTTCTTATCATAGATCTTAGCCTCTTCAGCTACAACTTTTCATTACGTTAAGAGTTTTCACACTTCCTCTTCAGGGAAGCACTGGACTTCTCTTTGCATTAACTGAATTGCTAGCGTTGCTGCTCTAAAGTTATTGTTAAGTAAGAGAAGAGCTACTTGAGAGTAAGCAGTGCGATGCCTAGATAGTCATTTTGAGAACTGGTGGGTAGCATGCACAGTTTGGGTACATTGGACAAAGGAATAATTCACTTCTTTATTGCTAGATTTTATTACACTGCTCAGAATAACTGGAACTGAAATTTTATGGTTTATTTCTGAAGTTTTCCATTCATTGCTTAGAAGCCACAATTGATGGCAGGTAACTGAACCATGGAAAGTGAAACCAAAGATAATGGGGAACTATATATATATTAATCAATGGACCAATTGATTTGTATTCTTATCTTTAGAGTCTGTTTAATCTAATGTTTCTTAGTTTACATAGGAAGAAGCAAAGAAAAAATTTTGCAGTCAAGTGCATTCTAGTAGAACTGCCTCACAGGGTTTCCAAAGCTCCGTTATTTTTATGAAAGCAGGCTGTGGGGCTGGTGGTGGGTTTGAATCACTGAACTTCTGGTTAGCAACCAAATGTTTCACCATTGTGCCCTGAAATTCTCCAGATTTTGATCTCTTTTCTGGTTCTGGCTGTTCAATGCCATTGAGTTGATTCTGACTCTAGGCTATGCTGTGTGAAACGATGAATCTTCCTGCCAGTGCTTTCTTGGCTGCAATCTGCATTGAGTCAAGTTGCCATGGGTGTGAACTGCCAGCCTTTTGGAGAGCCACGAAGCACTTAAGAATTCGTTGTAGAACCAGTTCCAGATGATGTAAGCTTGTTTGAAAATATTCCGTTTCCAATTGGACACGCGTTCACAGAGAAAACCTGTTTTTCAGTCAACAATCCCTGCATTTCTTTGTGTGTGTCATTAATTGTAATTAATCCTCAAAATATAACATTAGTTATTCCGCTTTCTGCTTTGTGTTGCTTTTTCATTCCTTCTTCTTTCCCAATACGTCTTGCTTTCTGAACTTTGTCCGTTGGCAAAAGCTCCCCTTTACATCTCAAATCACTGTTTATTCTTGGGAGTTGTTATTCATCCTCTACGTCTATCTGTTATTTGCTTGAAAATTTAATCATGGGGTGAGTTCAAATCTAGGTCTTAAGTGTGACTCAGAGTTTCTATCTGTGCAGTAAACCTGACTCTTTTTTTAGTATGATTTTGAGGGGGTTTTTTGCTCCTCATTTTCCCACTTTACCAAGGTCATAGTAATACACTTCCTTTCACAGTGGTCAGTCCTGTTAGTCAGGTACAATCTAGTCCTTTCTGTCTTCTCCTGGTCTTGGAAACTGAAGTTCTTTGGGTCCATTAGTCCATATGACTCGTTGCTTTCATTTGTCTTTGTTCTTTGCTTTGAAAGAAGAGAGGCTAATCATTGTACCATCGTTAGCTGCTCTCAAGCCTTTGAAACCTCAGGTTTTATTTATCATTGTTGGAATTCAAACATTGCCTTTGTAGTATGCACTGGATACCTTGATTGGAATGCTGTTGGCAAAAAGTTCAAAATGACCACATTGCTTTTGGCCAGGTGAGATTTCTCCATTCTCTTTGTCCCTTTGGTAATCATGTTTATTCCACTTCTTCACATGGTTCAAAATGTATCTACTTCTCTACCCTTTATTGTGAATTCCAGTGTTTGGGGATTACCATCCAATTCTGTTTCACAGAGCATGGGAGGTCTGCCTGGTTAGTATACCATTTTGCTGGAAGTCTTCTTTTTATGTCTTTTATATGTTTTTCTCGGGCCACAGGAAGCCTTCCCACATCACTGAGCTCCAACTGAATATTCAACTTTCGACTTGAATTTCGAGTAGGAATTTGACATCTACAATGTTCAAGATCTATTACTCCAACATTACTAAACAATTTTCCCATTCCTTTTTCCTCTTATCCTTGCCAACTTCTATTAAATTCTGATCTCTCTCTATTTCCCTATTCTGTGTATTTCCTATTAGTGAGATCAATACATGCTTGTCCTTTTGTGATGGACTTATGTCAGTCAGCATATTTTCAGGGTTTATCCATGTTGAGGCATGGAGCAGGACTTCATTTCTCTTTATGGCAGCAGTCTAGTCCATTGTCTTTTATTTCACATTTGTTTCTGGGGTTTGGGACTGGTTTCACCTTTTGACGACTGTAAATTGTGCTTCGATGAATATTGATACACATGTATGTTTGCATTGTTGCTTTATAACCCTTTAAATTTATATCTAAGTTGTTTTACACAGTGGCTTTACCATTTCACATTCCTCCACCAGTGTATTTGTCACTTTCCTGTTTTAAAAGTCTTAGCCATCCTTGTGGGAGTGTGATGGTACATTATGGTTTTGATTTACATCTCCCAAATAGATAATGGTACCAAGTATCTGCTCACATGTTCGTTGGCCATTTATATTTATCTTTGATGAGATGACCATTCAGATGAATTTGCCCATTTTTTCAGTTTCATTGCCTTTTCCTTGTTACCTTCCATGAGTTCTTTGAGTTCACCCTGATTCTTCTATTTGTTGAAGAGTAGGGCCACTTCATAGGATTTTCTTGGGTATCGTCTTTATGGATAGTTCTAGATAGTTAGATAGTCTAGATAGTTAGATAGTCTAGATAGTCTAGATAGT